TCTTGATAGAATTGAATTTGTCACCTCATTCTAGCTTCGGTACACCCCATCACCTTGTTCCTTCTCATCTAAAATTATTGAAATTGGGAAGCTTGTTATGCCAACTACCTTGTTATCAAAGATGAAGCTAGGATTTTGTTTTAATGAGGGCCAAGATGACTTGTTAGACAACTTTTAAGGAATTGATGTCTTTGCATTAGTGATACGCATTGATACATTGTTTTTTTTTCAATTTTTAAGGATTTTTCTCTTGAAATACAAATCATTTGAGAATGCTTTCCATATACATGAACAGGGAAAAAAAATGAGATGTTCCTAATATCAATAGAATAATTTCATAAAATAAGCTCCCAAATTATCATGTAATATTATTTATGGGGTACTTCCAACAAATGTCGAAATGAAAAACTTTACGAGTGAGATAATGATGACTCACCTTTGTTAGATAGTGAGACAATGATGACCTACTTCATATATTTTGCAATTACTCATTTATTGAAAGTAACACGTAAATAATATCACATGTGTACGAGCAAGAAATAATCTTCTCGTATAATCCTGTTGATCAAGTTCGCGCTCCTCCAAACGTCATCGCTTTACTCCCTGAAAACACAAACGTGAGCTAGCCGGCGAGTGTGTGCCGGATACCTCTCCGATGCCTACGTTAGCAAAATAGACAAAAGCTCAGTGTATTCGAGAATCAAAGTTGTGTGTTACCTCTTCATAGGTGATGTTGTGAGCTTTTATAGGTTCCGTGTGGCACAATCCTAGTAGAACTCTTATTTCTCCATGCAGAGTCCTCTTAGGAATTACTCTCCTAAAAGATAATGCTTATCCTTCAACACTCCCTTCACTGCTTAAACCAAGTGAGATGGTCCTAGCTCGGTGGTATGTCCAAACGACTGGGCTAGCATTGCCATGGCACAATGACAATGTAACCAAGTTAACAATACTCATGTTACATTTATCCCGACACTTTATGTGTAACATGTACCTCGGCTTCGCCTGTAGACCGTGCTATCCATAGCGTACTTGGACCGACTACTCAATAGCAAGGTCCTGAGTAAAAGTCAAAAATACCTCGGTTCTTAGGAATTACTCTCCTAAAAGATAATGCTTATCCTTCAACACTCCCTTCACTGCTTAAACCAAGTGAGATGGTCCTAGCTCGGTGGTATGTCCAAACGACCGAGCTAGCATTGCCATGGCACAATGACAATGTAACCAAGTTAACAATACTCATGTTACATTTATCCCGACACTTTATGTGTAACATGTACCTCGGCTTCGCCTGTAGACCGTGCTATCCATAGCGTACTTGGACCGACTACTCAATAGCAAGGTCCTGAGTAGAAGTCAAAAATACCTCGGCTCAAGATGATTTGACCAAGCTAACTGTCACCGCGCCGACCGTGGTGACCGAGCTAACCACCAAGCTCTTTCGGACCAAGCTATCTGCAAGGCTCCTCTGGACCGGACTAATTATAAGGCCCCTTTTACTCAGCCCTTCCTACTGTGGCCCACAGAATGGCCCATTACCCAGCTCGGCCCAATTTATATATAAATTACCCTCTCAACATGGTACTCCTAAACTACCCAATATTTTTTTGTGAATGAAATAAACAAAGCTTTGTTTTGTGAGAAAGAGGAAAAATAATTCAAAAAAATAAAGGAAACCAAATAAGAGAAAAGAGGTTGCATATATAAGTAGCAAACTAGTTTTCAGTTGTTTCCATGAAAAGTGTAAAGGCCATCACATTATATATGTTCTTTAGGACCTAATATATACAATACATAATGGATTTGTTGAACATCATGGGTGGCCATGGCCCCCGTTGGTCCCATTGTACCTTCCTCTTCATTAACACATTAAATGCCCTTGTTCCTCTGAATTTAAGTGTTTAATATTCTGTTTTAGGCTGCACTTTCATGTAGGAAATCAAATTTGCACAAAGATCGTCATTCTATTCTTCTTATTTTCCCTGGAACTATTCCTTTGTGTCAATCCTTATCTTCTAAAGCTTATAGCTTCTAGATGGAGACATCAAGATTAGACTGATGGGGTCTATCATTCTGGGAGGTGTTATCTCTAATAGGTGAATTGAAGAAGGCAAAAGACCCATATGTAATATGACTAATATTGCATGTAAGTCCTGTTCGAAAATTTTCATTTCAGTTTCTGAGATTGGATGTTCACATGACACTTTGAGTTGAGAACATGGAAGCAAGGTCAAAGAGTAGAAGAAGAAATATGTCACAAGATGTGTGATCAATATAAGAAGAAATGCTCCTAATTTTAAGGTTTTCATTCTCTCTCTCTAGCCAATCTCTTTATCAAGACAATGTATTATAGTGCTTGATATGAAGCATATTTCAAGTTTTAGCTACATATAGATCTCATGGTGGAAAAAATACATTGGAGACTTCAAATTTTTTAGTTAGTGTTTTTACAAGTATAGCAGCCATAGACTATTGAGTTAAATAATAACTAAAAGCCCCATTATTAGTTTATGAGTTGTACTATAAAGTTTTATGTGTACTTCACATCACAATTTCCATAACCATTAAAACACTCGGCAGTTAATAAAGGTGGTTTTTGTTTTTTATTTTTTGAAGAAGTAATACACTAGTGGAGCCAAGTGAGTTTCTACTTTTGAACTTCTGCATATTGTGAGAGTAATGACACATTGATGGGCATCCCACCTTTTCATGGCATATGCTATTTCATGTTAAATAAAAGGAAAAACTGAACTACTGCAACATTATGTTGTGACATTTCTATTTAGCACTTGATGGTTCTTGGATCAGTGAGCTGAGAATTGGGTGTGGATTTTATGGTCTTTGCAGTGTGCGTGATACACATACTTATGCATTGAACATCTTTACTCAGAGCTAATGTTGCTGAACCCTTGTTTTTTGGAGCTTGGAACTGGGTTGAGCATCATGATGCAAAAAGAAATCCCTCCCTAGTCACAACATTTGCCTTCCTTTCATGTGGACACCTTTGTAGCTCCTACCAAGAGGTTGTCTGTTGTATATTAGTATTAATTTTTTTTTCCTTTATATACTTTTGTGCCATATGGAACAAAGTGTGTGTTATTTACCCACCAAGTGTTGGATTTTTTTTTTGTTAATCTGTTTGCGTATGCTGAATCGAGCCAGGTAAAATGTGGCTATAGATTCCTTCCTTAAGACAAGTTAGGACAAGTGTCCCACTCACCTGGTTATTTATAATTTTTTATTAGGTATTGTTTGCTTGATAGTTTAGAATGACTTTGATATCCTGCTTTTTGGAGTAAAAATAAAAGAATTATATGTCCTTAGACCATTTTGAAATTCTAAAGCATAGCAGTTCACTATTTTAAGATCTAGGATTTACCACTGAATAATAAGAAAACAAACTTGTATTTAAACTACTTGAATTCTACTTCAGCAATCTATGTATGTTAGATAAGCCAGCCTCCAGATGGCACATTATGAATTATTTAGATTAGTACACCATCTAAACCAATTCTTCAGAATAGTTCATACTTCCTGCTTTTACGGAATTAGTAACATCCATTTCAAAGGTTGCCATCAAATTATATCCTATTTCCTTAAACCTTATTGTAACGGAAGAAAAAAAAAATTAGAAGAAGATCCTTCTTGTTGACGTTGTTGGAGAGCTTAATGCTTTATTCCCTTTTTCTAACAACTTAAAGCTTTTGGGATTAGTGGTGATCTAACATGGACTCAGAGGTCAGGTTGGGAGAAGTCTTGGATTCAAGTTTCTTTGTCTACATTTGTTATCTGTGTTTGCATTCTGGCCATGCATTTAAGATTTTTATTTTGGATTTATTGATTCTATATATATGTCATATCTATATCGTAATCCAAACATTTTATGCTAGTAATAATCAAAGTGGTTATTCATTTTCTATTGATTCAAGAGATGAAGAGTCAGTGTGATGCAAAAATGTCCGACTTTATCTTTTGTAAAACTAGAATAGTCTCTACAAATAGTTAGTTTATTCATATGTTTTTAGTGGTTTTTGAATTAATTTATGTTTTGATTTTTCAGGTCAGAAATTTCTTGAAGAGATGCAAAATATAATCAAAGAATTCATGAACTTAGTTTTTCAAGTTTTTTCATTTTTTAATATATGTAATCACAGTTAAAAACTTTTTATTAATTCCATTGTATATATTTTTGAACATTTAACTTTCATTTATGAAATATATAACGTTATTCCATTCAATATGTGGTTGTGATTCAAAGTATAGTATATAGCGTGTATTACATTCTTCAAATGCTCGTACAAAAATAATATTGATTATTCTTCAAATATGTCGAACTCTTTTTTTATCACACGCATTAACTGTGATGAGAAATGCATATAACGTGTGATCTTATCTCATTATTATTAACAGGTATTATTAAATATTAATCACACTTAAAATCTGTGATTTAAATATTTATTATCACAGGTTTTATTAGTTATTAATCACACTTAAAAGATGTGATCTAAATATTTTCCGCGACCAAAAAATTTTGGTCGCCAATCGTGACATTCCGCGACCAAAAAATTTTGGTCGCCAATCGTGACATTCCGCGACCAAAAAGTTTGGTCGCCAATTATCACATTTAACGACCAAAAAGTTTGGTCGCCAATTGTGACATTCCACGATCAAAAAAGGTTTTGGTCGCCATTTGTTACTTTTCGCGACTAAAACTTTTGGTCGGCAAAAGTGAGTTTCCACGACCAAGAGCTGTTTTGGTCGGCAATAGATGTATTTTTTGCGACCAAAACTCTTGGTCGACAATTGTCATTTTTTGAGAAATAAAATTATTTATTTGTCGCGACTAATAAATTGGTCGTCAAAGCAAGAAAACAATACACCTGTAATTCCTAAATATTCATTCAATCCATAATAAACCTATAATTTTAAAGCATCATTCAAATCAATTGAATCATTAACATTTGACACAATACATAATTCATTAACATTCGACACAATACAACTATTCAAGTTTTCATTCACAAGTCACATCCATCTAGCATAACAAATTGAAACATAACTATTTGTTATTCATGCGCAGCTATCAACAAATAAAACTACTAATTTTGTTATCCATACACATCCATCCAATAATATTTAATCCTCCCAAAAATGCTTATACTGCCAAGTAGTCTTGTACAATTTAGCTTCGTGCACGAGATCATCCATCATCCATCTATACCAAAGAAAATGAGAAATAATGTTAGGCTTGTTTTTAATGAAAATATTTGAAATGGGTAATTAAATTAGAAATTTCAGAGAATCGTAAGTTCAAATCAAAATTTCTAACTCATTTGCAGGTAATTAAATTGTCAATTTCAGAATATAAACTGCTAATTACAAATTTGAAATGGGTATTAACAAATTGGACAATGAGACCTTTTTTTACACAGAGAAAAGTGCAAGGTTCATATATTGTCATGGCAAACACAATCAAGCTTGACAAGCATATACAGACATAGAAGACTACTACAATGTTGAAAACAATCTTCCTCTTATTTATGGTTTTCTCTATTTTTTCGTTTCTTTTCTTTTCTTTTTCTTTGTTTATGGTTTATTTGTTTCTCCTTATGTAGTTACTTCAAAGGAATGTTATATAACAAAATTCAGGATCACTTCCATCTTTCAAATCCAAGTAACTTACATATTTGACGTTGCTTTTGAGAATCCATAAACATGGATCTTTGGCAAGGTAATTTCTCTCTACTTGGGCTTTGTTCTAAATATTCCCCTGAATACATCTGCAATAATTGGGCAAAATATTGAGAGAGAGAACAATTGAATGCTAGTGTCTGCAATTTTGAAAATCGCAACATATTCTGTGGTTTCCATTATCTACTCCATTCCTTGTATAACTCCAACACCTTCTCCACTCTTTTCTATATGACATTCAGGTAATAATTTTGAATGACTAAATTACTGATCATAGCGATTTCTTTGAATCTTTAAACTGTTGCCATCCAAGTGCCACATGCTGATGGAACTTAACTTTTTACAATCCTAAGAGAAATGCATAATGAAGACTGTTCACTGAATATAATCTTACTTCCTCATAAGAGGTCTCCAATAAACACATCTCAAAAATCCTTTTTTCAAAGTGATTATGAAGGAGTTAACCAGAGCCAAAGTAGGCCATAGCAAAGTACCTTACTCAGCTAGCCAGAATAAGAATCCTATACCTAATGTTGTAATGCTATTCCCAGGGCTTCTGTCCCATGATAAATTCACAAGAAACGTTAGCCACCTTGAAACTATATCACATCATATGTCCTATTTAAAATTTAATACATCAATTTCTAAGTCCAAGGATAGAACTCAATAAGTAATTATTACCATCTAAATCCTTCACAATACATCACCTAGTAAGTAGCATTTAAAATGGTAGCACAGTAAAATGGAAAAGCTATACGAGCAACTCTCAATATTTAATTTCAGAATACAAAACTTCACTGCTGAAAGAAGAAGAGAATTTATGCTCTATCAGAATAATTACATACCTAGATACTCTGCAGCGTCATTTGGCAAATTCATAACCACTTGTTTGATGGATTGAGCTTTTTGACTTGCAAACATAGCATCAATGAACCTCCTTCCATCCATGTTAAAAACCTAGACATACAAAAACAAAATAATTAAGCCCACATGATACAACTTCGTCGAATGCAAGTTGCAGATATATAAATATAGACACTTTCTAAATTGAAAAATGAAGCTATGAAAACCATTAAACAATAATTGCATGACAAGCTAAATTCATACTTCTATCTTCCTCTCAAGTTCGTTGAGGACACAATTCCTTTCCAGATATTCAACCGCAAAGGGGTTTAAATCATTAGCAAATACATGTTTCACTTTTCTTCCTGCAGATATAGCTATAGGACCAACCCCAGCAAAAACATCACCTGTTAATAGTGAAGAGGAAAAAAGTATATACTACGGAGTCAGAGACTGCAGTATGCTAGTGGAAAACAGCAGAAAATATGATGCAACTGAGCGAACATAAACATACAAACAACATCATAACATGTGAAGCAATTCAGAAGCCTCTGCCTTTCAGTTGCTAGCCTTGAATTCCAATACCTGCATAAAACAATAGGAAAAATTAAATCCAATTCATATTAAAAATAAAAAATAAAAATCATTATTCTTTTGTTTTAGATCCTTGTTTCTAGACTTCTTAGAAAGACAATTAACGTTCTACATGATGAACAGTAGAGTTCAAAATATATTGAGAGAACTCGTGCACCAATAGTTATAGCCTTCAATAAAATTTTGGCTTCTGGTTAAAACATACATGGAGGAACGTATTCTGGATGTGCCTAAATTGAGTCTTCAAAGCAAAACAACCTAAAAATCCTCAAATTCATCTTCAAGTGTGAATAAGTTTAGTATTAGACACCTAATTGCATAATATTTTTACTGAGAGTAAATCACGTCTTAATTCAAAATGCCTAAACATTAACCAGAAGCAGTTGGCTGTCAGTCAAAATCAACAAACGTTAATCATCAAGAGTTATGGTAGCCTACTTCAACACTGCAAAATGTGGTGCACCAGCTCCTCATAATTTAAACCTTTGAACCTCCAATTTTGTTTTGCCTATATGATATAGGATCTAAAGACAAAGCTACTACCCATGTATGCTATTCCGCACAATTCACTAGCGATTGTATCATGACTCAATCTCGTGTCGATGAACAATAGTCCAGATGTCTCTGACAGTATTGAGAGCATAAAATTATGTGCACGGTCTCCAAAAATATGCTCACATTATTGCATCAGGAAATTCCTGTTTTCTTTCAAGTTTCACCTAGTTTGCATTCTTCAACCGTGACGGATAAGGATCCAACAGATATTTTACCACGCATTAAGAATTAAAAACTCAAATAAGTGATCAAGTGGAAATAATGTGAATTCTAATCCGTAGAAATGAATGTTGGGCAGTCAAAACTTCTGGTGTGTTAAGCCCTGAAGTTGATTGATCAACAATTTCAAATTAGTACATCAAAAAAACACACCTTAAATGACAGGATCATCTTGACTTCTATGTAAACAGTGAGACAAATGTGGGTGCTACAATTCATATTTACAGAGAACATAGATGCAGGGACCTCAGAAAACTTAGTTAAGTTGTTGCAATGCAAATGAGCAAACATGTAATACTTGGAAAGATTGTGGACTTATGAGTGTTGGGTGATGATATGATAATTGTGCAATTAAATTCTGGTTATACTACACCAGATTGCAAGAAAAAAGAACCTACACTGTTGCCAAATCAACATGAAAACACAGTCCATTCTCAACAACTATAGTCACAAGGGAACGATTTCCAGCTAAAACTTCAAGCTGCATCGTCCTATAATCATTATGAATGGCATCAATCTTATTGACAACTGTTTGTATCTTTGGCTTGTTCTTATCCAAGACTACCTGATAACAAAAACCACCTCTGGCCGTTAGAGACAGTTTATGAGAACACATATAATGCCTACTTAATTTCATGACATTGCAAAAGCAGTGATAATATTTCTAAAAACAATGTACCTTTGCAATAAGCTTCTTGTGTGGAAGATGTTCATCCCTCAGGTTCAGATGAGCAATGTGCCCAACTGTTTCAAAAGCTGAAGGAACAATCATACTGTTAGGTAGCAAGGCCTCTAAAATCTGCAAGGAACACATCAAGGATGAAAAAGAAAGTATGAAAATGGAGGATATACGAACCCCAAGGGGAACAAGAAGGGGGAGGAGGAATGAAAGGGATAACTGCAAGTCCAAGTGTGCACTAGACAGGAGGCCTCCTATAGCGACCCCGGTCTTTTCTCTTTAAATTATTGTATCCGGACTTAGGTTCCGTGGATCCTGTCATTACTTATTGGTTGTTGTTGTCCTTTAATCTCTTTGTATTTGAAGTATAGGTTGTGTTGGGCGGGTCTGTTACAGGTTGGTTGATTTTAGATGCCAATAGGTGATGCCCAGATTTTGGCCTTCACGCTCGAGCGGAAGTTTTAACGCTCGAGCGGTCCCTTCGTTGTTGCTTCTCCGCTCGAGCGGGGATTTTGACGCTCGAGCGTGATTTTCCATCTCCCAGTATTTTGCTCTGCAGTTCTTCCGCTCGAGCGATAGTTTTTACGCTCGAGCGTGACCCCTTGTTTTTGCTCCTCCGCTCGAGCGGGGAGTTTGACGCTCGAGCGGGTGCCAGCGCCTGCAAAACTTCTATCTGTCATTGAGGGTGGGACAACTCTGTCATTCATACCCTGTTCAGTACAAGAAAATTCAGAGGAAGGGGAAAAAAAGGTCAGCATAAGTGAATCTATATGATTTAAATTGGTAATCCTTCTGAAAAACAAGTGCAACACAAATAATACAGAATCCTGCTCCTCCTAATTCCAAAGTGACTATTGCAGACCAATGTTCAACATAATCAAGACATGAACTAACTTACAAACCCTAGACCAGTGTAAAAGCCTAAAAAAGTCTAGTTTTACAAAAATTTCAGTGGGTACAATATTTGCATGCATAACAAGAACCACACCATCAAATTACATTATAACAAGGCACAATAATAATCAGATTCAAATGATTGGATTTGACAACTTACATGAAGTGTGACAATTGCATTTGGATTTTTCTCCACTGCATAAACTCTCAACTTCCGTCCAGTTTCTTCAGCTGCCTATTATGAAGATAAGAAAAGCACAATAAGGTTTTTAACAAAAAAGATCAAAGTTGCAATAAAATCAAGCAGCCCCTTTCAGAAACATAAGCCACAGCTAATATGAAAAAACTATAAAGCAAAGTAGTGCAAGCACGACTCCCAAGGAATTGAGCATTGATGTATGTACACTAATTATGACATCCTAGATGTTTAAAATAGTTTCTTTTATATACATCTATGAGTGTGTATATATAACCAAAAACTTTTCTAACATAGGTCGAACACGTAAATATCGACATCTCTCTTGATTTTCCATTTCAGGGAAGTCAACATTTTGGCATTTAGCATTTATGTAATATGTCAAATCCAAATTTTGTGTTTGCATCCATGTTCATCTCCACGCAACATAGACATAAGAGTAGACCTGCAACGATGCTCTAACAAGAGGTCCACGTCCAGCTCCCACAACCATCAGTACCTACAACACGAGAACAGAGGTGTCATGACCTTCACTGTCAAACTGCAACACATGCCATAATTGCTGATAAGATATTAAGGCAACGAGAATGAACTCAGCTATACTTTATTCCGCCACATATATCTGAGATATAATACCAGGGATTATCACACAACTTACAGTGATTATCATAGATGCTTCTTCATCTGGGACGCTGTCCATCAAAGCTTTAGAGACTGCTCTTTGATACTACCAAAATACAAGTACAAGATCAATATTAAAAAAAAAAAAAACACACAAAACACAAAACTATTGACAGTAGAAAATAGACTTTGTGCAGCAAGAAACATTGCCATAGAATAAAGAATAGAATATAGATATTTATATGACAGTTGTCAGTTATCCCACTGATTTCCCAAAAATAATATTTGAAATCTTAATAACAGCAACATTCTACAACAAAGTATAACACAGTAATCATTAAAAACATAATTTTGAGATCCAAGTGTCTCTTCAGCACTAAAATTTGATATACAGAAAATGACAACGCTACCTGTATTGAATGGTTAAAAAACACAGACAACAGCTTTTGGTGACGCTTTAACAGACATGGATATCCCCGAGCATTTGTTAGAAAAGACTGGCAAATCAACAGTCACAAATGTGAGTGTCTGAGTCACAGAGACTGCATGGAATACTACTTAAGCTTAGAAAAGGTATAATCGATAAACCCTTTACACTGGTATGAATTATAGCTGCTCTAACAGATTCCCCAAACCATCTTCCAATTGAATTTGATGAAGGCAGTGAACTCCCAATGAAAAGATTGGTCACGTGTCAAACCATAGAATTACTGGTGGTTTTGGAGTACTGACCACTGAAACTTCACATCATTTAAGCACTTCTGCATTCAAAGAAAGATAGATAGATATGGGTAGGGATCCATTTACACCTGCTGTAAGACATTTTTATTCTTACACACATCTATAACATTTTGTGCAAGCCCCCTTTCACAAATCCTGCCGATGGATTTCATGCTCATCTTTTGTCATTCATGCATGCCAAGCATTAGATCAATCAACAATTGAAAAAAAAAAATTAGGCTACCCATACACTTGCATTTTGTGTATAATATGACTATATGTATGAAAGCGATACGGATTAGAAAACTCTTGACCTTCAATTTAACTGAAATTTGGCAAGATTGAAAGGTATAAGATAAGCGTGAAATACAACGGTAGGATTTGTGAAAGTTTACACACAAGTTACGGAGGGGTGTAAAATAAAAATTTTACACTAGGTGGAAACAGATACGTCTCCTATATATAAATTAATGTTTATATATACTCACAAAACATCAAGGGCAATGGACAACTGACTGTGATGTTCACATAGAAGACGGAACAAAACACAGAATTCCAAGTGAGACAAAAATTTAAAAATAAACAAATAATTAATTAAAATCCATAAAATCAACAGCAAAATCCAAGAAATTTTCCTCAGAAAAGAATCAAATCATATACCACATTCATATAAATACTAGAATCAAACTTAAGAAAAAAAAAAAGAGACAGAGATCGTAAATTAGATAATCAATGCGAATTTTCTTTCTTTCTTTCCTCCAAACATTTTAACATAGACCAAAAAACAAACACCTTATAGGCATGCCAAACACTAAGGAGAGACCATATGACTACTATCATTGATACATACAAACACTCTATTGTGTGTGTGTATATATATATAGATGTAGAGTTCATCAATACCTGGTAAGGAGAGGCCAAACACACAAGCACACACTATATATGTACCTGGTAAGGATAGACCAAACACACAAGCACAAACACTATATATATATATATAGAGAGAGAGAGAGAGAGAATAAGAACACCATGACATCAAACATGAAAAAGATGAACCCATTTGAGGTAGATAGCACCTGCCTTAACCCCTTATTTTACCACAGATTGAAAGCAAAATTTTTGACATAATTAAAATTCAGATTCCTACCCAAAAAATGCCCCACTAAACAAGCCTCCCACCTTTCTACACTTTCCCTCCTAGGGAGGTCAACCACAATGGTAGAATCAGAAGAAGAAGGGGGGAAATACCTAAGTTTGACAGATGACCTCTGATTCGTGGAAGAATTCTTCAAGAACTACAAATCAAAAGAATTAAATTGTAAATAACCTGAAAATTTGATACATGATTAGAGGTTAATCTGAACTGGTGTATAGTACAATCATACTCTGTTCAGGGGTTTCATATTTCTTAATCACGCCTTTTGGGTCGAACAGATGCATGTTGCTTGTGCTGATAGTTGTGGTGAGTTTAAATTTCTTTAGCAAGCCCTCTTGCTTTGCCATGATCAAGTTCTCGTCGGACATAATAACTTCAAAGTGTACGGTGGTGTCATCGTTGTGCTCTCTGTAATCCTGCAACCATTAAAATCTATCGTGAGACTCCAAACACCTCACATACTACAACTTAATAATGTACTAAGAAATCAGTTCAAGAAATCAAACTTAATTATACCTTGATAAATGGGTCCTTGATTTTATCATTTCCTGTCATAATTGATTCAAGAAATTCTTTATAATCTTGAGTCCATTGTCGTATAGGCAGCTCATGTGTATCAAAACATAAATCACTAACGAATTAGCATTTTCTGGTATATCAAAAACATTTCATAACCAGGCAGACATCCCTACTCTTTCCAAATCCTTTTGTTGCTCATCAAACTTGATATATATGAAGAAATCAGAATGATAATAGGACACATTCTCATGTGTAACACATCACTTCTAAGCAGAGAAAAGAATGAATTACTGCCATCATTTGCCTGCTTAAATAACAAAGGCCGAATTCGAGTGACTGCATATTTGTTGAAGGATTATGAAAAGCAATGGCAGGAAACTAACTAGACACTGTTACCTTATGCTCATACTTGAAGAAGGTAAAAAAAATTGAATGGGAACAAACCCAGAAAGATAAACAAAACCTAAAGGCTCCTTTTGGTATCTCCTTAAAATTGATTAGCTCAAAAGTTCCCACATTGGTGGCAGCTTCTGCTTCATCATTTCTTTTCCAATACAGTGTTTTCTGTTTAACAAGGATAGATGTCTGTATCAGACAATCCTAGAATAGAAATTTAGATTTTTTAAACTGATATAATGAAATTTGAGTGTTGAACCAAGAGAATAAAGTTCATATTCTTGTCCCACTTTACTTGAGACCAAATTTCAGAATCCAATATATAATATGGCAATATTTTGGGGACACTCTACATTTCTTTTGAAGAATAATCCAATCTGATATACTGTCACTCTAAAGAGCAACTAAACTAGCAGGCAGAAAAATACTCTACATATACTTTAATGGTCCAAACAGCAAAAGGCTATGCTATAGTTTGTACCCTATTGCAAATAATATTTGGGACAAATGTAAACCAAAAGCACCAGCCAGTAGATTATGCAGCTGAAGTGCATAAACAGCATAATATCTACACCCAATCATAGTTCAAAAGAAAAAGAAAGATGAGAAAATTTTCTCATACTTAAGCATTTATATCTTCATCCCACCACCACCAACAAACATAGGAAAAAGTTTTTCGTACAAAACATTTTCCATGCAAACAAACTGAGCATAAATGATTGTAGATCAAGAATGTAACAAACTTCAATTAATAAAAACCCCATATATATAAACACATACAGCAAACTTCAATGAACTGATCACAAATTTATATGTTATGTAGACCAACTATTAAAAAAATCCACTACACATTTCACATTTAAGCTATCGAACTACGTGGGTTGCAGCTCTGCAAGTAATGAAATGTATATGCATTTAACTATCTGATGAATTTGAGTTTGTTGATACCTTCACGAGTAAACAAGTCATGAAACAGGTGCTTTAAGAATCCATAATCCGGTCGTTGATCAAATGTTAAAGAGTGGCAATAATGGAAGTAAGATGCAAAATCCACTGGATGCGACTTGCGTAAAACCTTTCAAAACAAATGCTGTGTCAGATATAACTCTTCTGCAAACGGTTCAAAATTAAAAAAGAAAGCCACCCCTGAAAGGAATACGTGAGTGTTTTTGTTCAAATGAAAGGCGTTCATGGTCTAACGGATAGGACAGAGGCCTTCTAATCATTTGGCATAGGCTCAACTCCCCTATTGGATGTAAATGCAATTCATTTACATGGTTTTTTTGGATTTCTATGTCGATAAAGACATTTTGAATGATTTAAAGTAGAGAAGCTTGATTAGTCCGCTTCTTTTATTTTTTAAAATATAAAAGTGATTATTTTTTTATGCTTGTTCCTTTAGTATAAAAGTTCTATTTGTTCATGAAAAGCTTCTTTCAAAAGGGCTTCTTCATTAAGCTCCTCATTATTGTTTCCAAAATAATATTTAATGTTTTTCTTCGTCTAATAGAATTTTTAAGGCTCTATCATACTTTTTTGACCTCATGTACGCCATTAAATTGTTATATAATACTCAAGAATAGCACTGGAGATGTAACTGAGTTGAAAAAAGATATATTCCAAGAAAATTTTCCAATTTATCAGATTTCCAGGGCCAAAATTTATTCTCCCTATTCAAATCACAAAGGGCACAAAACATATCACTCACATCACGAACATACCTCAATGGGAGTTGATAACTTCTTCTCACATATTTTGTCATATTTTTGCTTCTTTGTTGCAGCTCTTTGACCCTGCCATGGAAGGCTAAAGGCAGTAACCAATGAATCAGTCAGGTCATATATTACACATTTTGAAATTGTATAATCCAACCATTATCATCTCCTTTAAGTAATATGTTTTGGGTCTAGAATTACAGCAACGTGGACAAGGATTCTCAAAAGCAAGCAACAAATTTAGGTTTAATACAAAAGGCAATGAACAGTAGGGCCATATTTTCAGTTGTGAACATAAGCCAAACAATGCATCAGGAACTCTTACACATATAATGGGAGGAAAGATGCATCAGGAACTCTTACACATATAATAGGAGGATAGAACAAAGAGATAGAGAGTTAAACAGTGCTCATGTGTCAGCTATCTGTCATTTCAGATATATTGGCACAACAAAATATCCGTCTGTTTGTGGTGGGTATATATATGTACAATTAAAAGTTCTTGTGATGGTCACTATTCCTAGTCAAAAATGTGGAGAAATCACCATACTTATTCTTTTTCCAGATTGCTCTACTAAGAAAGATGTTCACTCTTAAAACATCCATTATTTATAAAAGAAAACAGGGGAATGAGGCAGATTTATCCCAAACGAAGCAAGAGTTACCAGCCCCTAATGCATAAGCAGCAGGTACAAGGATGTCTTTCAAATAAGTGAGCCAATATAAAAATTAAGAATAAACAATCTATGGAACCTCCGACCCAAGTATTTAAACAAAAATAGATTGCATGGAACATAGACAACTAAACAAATAAACAACATACAATGTCCAAAACAAAAAGGATAGAACAACAAAGAACCATGAAATTTAAGCATGAACTTGGTTATCAGAATTATACCACTTTATCTAATTATATGATATTTATAACATCCTCCCTGTAAAACTGTTGATCATCTTTACATTAGTAGTTAACTATAATAATTTCATCATACAATATACCCAGCTTAATATAATTTATGTAGCCACTTTGTGCAAATAATGTTAAAAAGGTAGGCCTATACCTATCCCATCCTCCTAGACCCCCACATGCAAAAATCATATTAGAAGAAAAGAAACTTATTGGTTGAACTTCTCAAGAGAGTATTTACATTTCTACATGTATAATAGTGGATCAATAATCTTCATACAGTATAAAGGGCTCGTTTCACTTGAGGATCACATAGATCAAAATGAATGATTTTATCACCAAGCTAAATCCCAGCCCCCCTAAAAAAATCAAATATATGCAAACAAAGTCACATGCATCAACACAAATACATATTCTTAAGGCCAAAAAATCCACAAGAACCTAGACTTTTTCAACAAAACAAAACAGATTTGTTTTATGTACTCAACAAAACATATTTTATATCTCCCAACTCCAGATAAATAAAGAAATTTCTATGCTTTAAGCGATGACAATAAGAAATCAAAGTCTTATTAAACAACTAGTCAAACAAAACAATACTTGGAGCCGTTGATACTTTAAAAAAATAAATAAATAAATAAAGCATGAAACAGTAAAATCAAAGAGAAACAGTCAAAACTAAACCCTAATTACTAAACAAATCGCTCTATAGTACACACGAAGCGAAGTTATGACGAAATTAAGCAAGCAAATTAAAATAAAATAAAATAAAATATAAAAAAACACCTAAATTAGAGTGAATTGAAGAGGAGAAAAACAGAAGAGATACTTACAGATTTGATGTCACCGTAAAAAATAACAATTTTGTATTGAATGGGCAATTTTATGTTTGTTGCCTTAATAACAATTTTATGTGGTTCAAATGAACAAAAATCAATCATATTAAATCAAAATAGATTGTCAGAAAAACAAACTAGGGAATTCGGCATTCATATTGCAATAATAAAAAAAAATATTCTAGTTCAAAAAACATATTTATTCTATCTCCAACTATGCTCATTACTCACAATCAAAGGATTTCAAGTTGAAAAGAACAATTAAAATTAAAAACAACCTACCTCGCAATAAAAACTTGTTGCTTTATTGTAGCAAGGAACTCTCTAACTCCTCCATTGTAGAAGTAAAGGGAAGGAAAGGCCAATCCTGCAAATATTTTCAGCTGTAACAAATGCCATTGAAGGTAAATAAAGTGCTAGTGAAAAAAAATCATATAGCATAGACTAAGGATTCATCTGATGATCTATGTGCCATAGATGCTTCAACCACGTACAGGCAATTAGCATTAGGAGAAACCATCTTACATTAGTACAAGTGCAAAGGATAACACAATCAAAAACGGTAGATCATACTAAAACAAATATGATGCAAACATTGTAACCATAGCTTTACAAAAATGACAAAGACCCGAAGCAAGGTCAATTGACAAGATCATGAAAGAAAAATACAAAAAAGGATAGAACTCAATTCCCCTAAAGCTACTGACATAAAGAAATGACATGAGACATTCTAAACATCACTAGAGGTCCCATTCATCAAGAGGCAGCATTGGAGCTTAACTAAACCCAGCTTAAAAACAAACATGGAGCTCTCTTGAGATAGTTCAGTGAAAGTTTGCTCTGTTTCCAGTTTTAGTAAAGCATCCTGAGGTGGAGATTTTGTCACGCCCCACTTTTTATTACTCGGAGTCATTACCAAATTCATTAACTTAATACAATTTCAGAGATAACATGCGGAAATAAACTCATACATAAGTGATTAACAATACTCCCATTCGTATGCAAAGTAAATATTACATGAACTAACTTAATAAATTGCCCTTGGGCTTACATCATTAAAAGTACAAGAAGAAGGGTGTAACCCTTTACAACAATGGCATTCCGCCAACATAACAGAGGCCCCGTGGCCAACAAATAAGAAGATCCAAATCTTGTAGCACACCCTGCTAAACACCTGAAAAGATTCAACAACGTGGGATGAACATATAGTCCAGTAGGGAACTCAACATGCTCCTTAACAATAACAACATTACAGATAGCTATGATCATGAACACCCATTCTCATACTAGAATAATAATGTGACAGTTTATACAAAATATATATATAAATATATATATGAACTTTTCTTGAAAACAATCATTTAATTAGATTCCTACCCAAAAAATGCCCCACTAAACAAGCCTCCCACCTTTCTACACTTTCCCTCCTAGGGAGGTCAACCACAATGGTAGAATCAGAAGAAGAAGGGGGGAAATACCTAAGTTTGACAGATGACCTCTGATTCGTGGAAGAATTCTTCAAGAACTACAAATCAAAAGAATTAAATTGTAAATAACCTGAAAATTTGATACATGATTAGAGGTTAATCTGAACTGGTGTATAGTACAATCATACTCTGTTCAGGGGTTTCATATTTCTTAATCACGCCTTTTGGGTCGAACAGATGCATGTTGCTTGTGCTGATAGTTGTGGTGAGTTTAAATTTCTTTAGCAAGCCCTCTTGCTTTGCCATGATCAAGTTCTCCTCGGACATAATAACTTCAAAGTGTACGGTGGTGTCATCGTTGTGCTCTCTGTAATCCTGCAACCATTAAAATCTATCGTGAGACTCCAAACACCTCACATACTACAACTTAATAATGTACTAAGAAATCAGTTCAAGAAATCAAACTTAATTATACCTTGATAAATGGGTCCTTGATTTTATCATTTCCTGTCATAATTGATTCAAGAAATTCTTTATAATCTTGAGTCCATTGTCGTATAGGCAGCTCATGTGTATCAAAACATAAATCACTAACGAATTAGCATTTTCTGGTATATCAAAAACATTTCATAACCAGGCAGACATCCCTACTCTTTCCAAATCCTTTTGTTGCTCATCAAACTTGATATATATGAAGAAATCAGAATGATAATAGGACACATTCTCATGTGTAACACATCACTTCTAAGCAGAGAAAAGAATGAATTACTGCCATCATTTGCCTGCTTAAATAACAAAGGCCGAATTCGAGTGACTGCATATTTGTTGAAGGATTATGAAAAGCAATGGCAGGAAACTAACTAGACACTGTTACCTTATGCTCATACTTGAAGAAGGTAAAAAAATTTGAATGGGAACAAACCCAGAAAGATAAACAAAACCTAAAGGCTCCTTTTGGTACCTCCTTAAAATTGATTAGCTCAAAAGTTCCCACATTGGTGGCAGCTTCTGCTTCATCATTTCTTTTCCAATACAGTGTTTTCTGTTTAACAAGGATAGATGTCTGTATCAGACAATCCTAGAATAGAAATTTAGATTTTTTAAACTGAAATAATGAAATTTGAGTGTTGAACCAAGAGAATAAAGTTCATATTCTTGTCCCACTTTACTTGAGACCAAATTTCAGAATCCAATATATAATATGGCAATATTTTGGGGACACTCTACATTTCTTTTGAAGAATAATCCAATCTGATATACTGTCACTCCAAAGAGCAACTAAACTAGCAGGCAGAAAAATACTCAACATATACTTTAATGGTCCAAACAGCAAAAGGCTATGCTATAGTTTGTACCCTATTGCAAATAATATTTGGGACAGATGTAAACATCACTAGAGGTCAATTGACAAGATCATGAAAGAAAAATACAAAAAAGGATAGAACTCAATTCCCCTAAAGCTACTGACATAAAGAAATGACATGAGACATTCTAAACATCACTAGAGGTCCCATTCATCAAGAGGCAGCATTGGAGCTTAACTAAACCCAGCTTAAAAACAAACATGGAGCTCTCTTGAGATAGTTCAGTGAAAGTTTGCTCTGTTTCCAGTTTTAGTAAAGCATCTTGAGGTGGAGATTTAGCCTTTGGTCTACAGAATATAAGTACATTTGAGTGGTAGACTACTAAAAGGAACAATCAACCAAAAGAAATTGAGTCCAGCATGAAGACAAATTATATATTTTAAAAGCACGGTCAACCCTTTAATAATTACCTAATAAGTTCATAAACTTCAATAATTAATAAGTTTTAATTATTAAATGTTCTTTTATCAAGTATCCTAGTAAGAAAAGAAATCTATTTGACTAATTTTCACTTCACTTTCAAATGCAATTAATTATTAAATGTTTATCCCTCTTCTTAAAAGTATATGTTTGTAAAGAAAGAAGTATATCATTGCAAATCCTAAAAGCAATAGATTCATCATTGCTCTCTTCAAATCCATAACCCACATGCACTGACTCACATCCCCTATTACCTTTCCCTATGTGGCAATTAAGATCAACGGCTATAAAAAAAAATCCCTCTTTGCTAGGTATCCTATGGACTAACCAATTCAAATCCTCCCAAAATTATCGTTCCATAGATTCATCTAATCCTATTTGGGGAACATAACTGCATAGGCATTAATTATATTTAGTGTCTCTTCTCCTAACACTAATTTCACTCATATTCTCTCCTTTTCTTTTTAACCAAACATTTCTTCTTTTAGATTTTTTACTTTTTATCTACAATTGTCTACACTCCATTTCCGCAATTCTCTTTTCCAATATTTTTTCATTTTTCCTAAATTTTTTCACCACCCATTTAGTTTCTCATAAACAAATAAAAGCAATTCCCCATCTAATCATTGCATCTACTAATTCCATCCATTTACATATATTCCGCACTTGTCAATGTATCCTACTCTTTTGAACTAGCACTTTAGTTGCACTTGTCCATTGAAGTGAATGAAAACTTGCTCACCATACCCAGGCACCAGTGTATAATTTTGATATAATATAACAGTGACCATGTAATCAACAAAGAGAGAAAGAGAGAGAGAGAGAGAGAGAGAGAGAGAGAGAATGTGAAAAAGGGGTTAAGAATTACCCGCAACCAAATTAGCTAATCCAACAGTGTTTAAAGCCAAACACTCGGGAATAGGGATAAGACTTAATTTTTGACAAACGCACAAGCATATTATTAGTTTTTTACCATTGTCGGGTATCAATTATGTAGTCCTATAACCCCAAACAAACACTAGCAAACAAACTTGCAAACCCGAAAAACCCAATTGGCAATGCGGTCAGTTTAAATTTGTATACCCAAAAAGACTCAAAATTTTCAACCCTAGTCACTAGATCCCCATAACCAATTCCAGTCACCACTACGAGGATATATACATACATATATATATATACACATAATCAAAGTGATAAGAAAGGAGGAGGAGAGTATACCAGTGCAGATCCAGTCGCTGATACGGGGGAGCCATTTAGAATCGGTGGGGGTTCTGGTGTCGACGAGAAGGTGGGACTGCTTACATCTGTTGCAGAAGGACCTGAAGGCATAGTTGCGGTTCCTGCATCCACCGCACTCCCAATCCCCTTCTCTCCCTTCTCCTCCCATCTTCTCTGTAACCCTCTCTCTCTCTCTCTCTCCCAACTCAGGATTCAAGGCCACAGGATTTTGGCCTCTGCCTCCCCTTCCTCCACGACCACCTGACCCAGATCGACCTCCAATAGGTGTGTAAACCTTCGAATCAGCCATACCACCACCAACTCCATACGATTAAGTTGTTAGGGTAGAAGCTGTTAGAGTATAATAGAGAAGATTTAGGGCAGAAGCTGTTAGGGTTGAAGTTTCCTCTTGGGTAAGATCACAGGGATCAGAAACTCCCGATCCACACTAGACATGGAAGCCTTCATACGATTAAGTTCCTCTCTTCACTCCTCAAAGGGCTTCGACTGAGTAACTCGCCGAAACGGATCCCCCTGTGCAACCTCCACCGAAGCTAACCCCAACGATGCAACCCCTTTCTCTCTTTCATTCATCGCGATAATATCACTCGTCAACCCTTCCATAGATTCAACAAAGGAAGAAAGGTTCAAATCGGCCTCACATACACAAAGGCTACTCACTGGATTTGCCTTTATTTATTTATTTTTTTCTTCTGTTTTGCAGGTACAAAACGACGTCGTTTTCTGATTGGCGACCAAATTTTTTTGGTCGCCAAAAAATTTCATTTCCCCCCTCCTAGTTGTTCAAATTTCCCTCCCAAACTTTTGGCGACCAAAAGACCAAATTAGTCACAGAAAAAGTACCTTTGCCGACAAACTTTTTTAGTCGCCAAATCTCAATCAACGGCGACTAAAATATTGGTCGCTAAAAATACAAATTTGGCGACTAATTTTTTTTGGTTGCTGAAAATAAATTTTTGGCGACCAAAAATTTGGTCGCCAAAAAATATGTGACCTTCCGCGACCAAATTTGTAGTTAGTCGGGAAAAGTATACCACTTTCTGCGACCAACTCATTTTTTGGTCGCCAAAATATAATCTTCTGCGACCAATAATATTTGGTCACCAAAAACAATGATCATTCGCGACTAATTAATATTTGGTCGCCAAATGTCATTTTTTTGCGACTAAAATTTTTTTGATCGGCAAAAGTGGTCGCCAAATGTGTAAATTCTTGTAGTGTAATTACACGTAAAAGATGTGATCTAACTGTTATTAATCACACTTAAAAAATGTGATCTAAATATTTATTATCACACTCAAAACATGTGATGGAATCATCTTTTAATGACGCTTTGGGAGTGTAATTAAAAATGACCACTTTTAATCACACTCCCAAATATCACACTTTAATAAAACTTAAAAGGTGTGATTAAATAACATACATCACACAAAAAAAAGTATAATCTATTTATGATTTTGTAGTAGTGTCATTAAATGAAATACAAGATATTAAGCATACTAATCTGCATAATAAGTCAGTAAGTTTGTAGTGCAAAGTAAAGATTTCTTTATTATAATGAAGGCAATGAGCTTGAGGTGTGCATCTTGGTGCCAACATAGTTAGGATTTTGGTGCTACAAAGTGATGCTCTTTGCACTCTCCGCTTTATTGACGTACTTTTTCATACTTTGTATGTTTTTTCATCAATAAAGCTTTCTTTTGCTAATAAAAAAAATATGAGCTTGAGGTGTGGACTAACATATTTCAATTGGTTTCTGATGGAAAAATGATTCTTCTATAAGAACTGAGAAAGAAGGTTTGGTTTGAGGAAAAACAATAGAGGAATAAGCATAAAGTCTGTAGAAGGGGAAGGTGGCCAAAAGAATAAATAAACAAATAAAAAATCAATGCTCACCCAAAGATTTAAAAAAAAAATGCTATTTATTTATTTATATATCAGATGTTGTGGTGGGTTTAAGCCAAATGCATCTGACAGGAACAATCGAAATAACCACTAATGGACACTAGTACTACCAAAGGGTTAGAACTTAAAAAGTCAAAATGAAAGTAAAATGTGAAAGGAAACAAGATGACCAGAGCGTTAATATTAAAGGTAATTATCAACTGGTCGTACTTTTGAGATTTAAATTCTATTGATAATAAATTTATCAATCTCTCTTGTTTTTATGAATAAATTTACATTGATAAATTTATCAGTCAGAACCTGTAGATAAATAAATCTAGTTAATAAGACTGATCGGTAAGTGTCCCTTAATTAAACCCCTGAAATTTCATTTGGGGATTACATATATGCCACAAAAGTCATCATCTCAAAAGTGAGATTATTGAGAAATTGGAATTATAAGGGGTGAAATATAGCATTTAACCCAATGTACATTTGGAGCAAGGAGAAAAAAAAAGAGCCTTCATGAACCAAGACGCATCCCTTTCCTTCCCATATTCTCCACCCCTTTTCCATGACCAAACTCAAATTTTTCTATCCACTCTCCTTTTCTTAAGAGAGGAACCAATTCAAGCAAAAAAAAAGTATAGTAATCTAAAGGCTATAGGATTCAACAATTTGGTGAAAGAAGATTGCACTACTAAAACTTGTTTCCATATATAATGCACACACAAAATGCCTTGGAGACCCTAAGACATACTCCGCCAACATAATGACCTAAGATTGCATTTGGATTTATGGATTTAAAATGAAATTATTTGGGCCCTAATCATTCAAGAAGAATACCTCATATGAAAGTAGAGATATGAATTTCAGAGCTCTACCATGATGGATTACAATGCGTAACAATGTAAAAATAGTTATCTGAAATCCTTCGTACTGACGATTATAGTGGCACAAAGATATTTTAGTCTCTCAATTTATCTATATAATAGCCAACTCTCTTATATTTTAATACTAAAATTTAACCTCAATCAAATCAATGGCGGACCTAGATATTTTATGTAAGGAGAGCACCACAAATCAAATCCCTAATTTTAGTACAAATCACAACAAATCAAAACTCCAAATTTCATATAACTCACCACAAATCAAGATTCCTAATTTTAAATCCCTAACAAATCACAACAAATCAAAAATCTTAATTTTCATATAAACCACAACAAATCAAGATTCTTAATTTTAGCATATCAAAATCTCTAATTTTAACATAAATAATCACAAATAAATCTTTTTCTAAATTTAATAAATCCAAACATATCATTTTAAACACAAATAACAATAAGTCAATACATTTATTTTTCATTTAAGAGTAAAATATTAGAGAGAGAGAGAGATTACTTTTAAACAATGGAGAGAAAATGTTTGGTTTGTATTTGAGAAACATGTTTTTGAGATAAAAAGTACGAAAATTTGTTTGGTTTGGTTTTTTTTCAAAAGATGTTTTGAAAAATTATTTTGAGAGAGAGTTTTGGAAAAAGTAATTGATTTGATGTGTATGAGAGAGAGAGACTTGTTTAGAAAATTTGTAAACCAAACAAGTTTTGTAAAAAAAATTTGGAAAAATTTGTTTAGTTTGATTACTTTTGAAAACTTATTCGTAGAGAATTTTTCTCAAAATTTTTTAAGAAACACAAACCAAACAAGGCATGAGAATTGTGGTGTGGTCCCCTATGTGGTGTGGTCCCGATTTACCGTGAGTCGAAGCAGTAGTGAGTCGAAGAGTCGAAAAGAAGACTACAGCAGTAGCAGAAAGCAAAGTATTGTGATATGAATAAAGAAATGGAGGACAGGATGTACATATATACATGTTAGAGTTAGAAATTGAGTGGAGAGGAAGGCTCACCCGTACGTGTTTGGTAAACACTTTTTCTTTTTGTATTTTTTTTTTTAAAAAGATAGAGCCATATTTGTTTTGTGTTTAAAAATAAATAATAAAAAAAAATCTGAAAGTCAAGGGGGGCCTACGTGATCCCCTGTCCCTTCTTAAGTCTGCCTCTGACTCAAATCACTTCATTTAAAATCCATCTATTCAAACAGAACCAAAAGCTTTAGCAACAATGATTCATCCCATTAAAAATATTACCACTAATAGCAATAATGCATTAAAAAAGTAAAAAAAAAAAAAAATACAATTCCAAGACCAAAACAAGGGGGGCCTACGTGATCCCCTGTCCCTTCTTAAGTCTGCCTCTGACTCAAATCACTTCATTTAAAATCCATCTATTCAAACAGAACCAAAAGCATTAGTAAGAAATTTTTGAGCTAGTTACATATATAAAAAGATAAACTTTAATTAGTCAAAAGCTAATAAATATTGGCTCTTGGATTAGAAAACTCTCTTTGCCAACTGCTTCAGGGTGCACAAAATCAATTACCAAATGCGTTAAATAATAAGAACTAAAGTAACGAAAAACGAACATTCAATTCGACTAATCTATATATTATATAAAGAAAATGAAGTTTTTAATCTATAAATTTTGTGGGAGTTTTAATATTTTAATATTAATCTTTTAATTTTTTGATTTAAAAAAAAATCTTAGTATTTGTTAACTTCTTCTAACCCACAAGCCTTTTTAACTTCTCACATACTTACTGACATACTATTTTCAACTTCTCCCATATACTATAGTTAGTGATGGAATTGTTAAGTTATTTTTATAAAAAATCTAAAACAAATATAAATTCTTATTGAAAAATAACATATTGCAATTGCGGAAAAAAAAAAGAAGAAAAAACTACACTATAAAAAATAATTTCTATATTAAAAAATAACGGGTTGCAATTGCAACAAAAAAAGAGAAAAAAATTACACTGTGCATTTCATTAAAATCTAAAAAAATAATTTCTATATTAAAAAAATATTTAAAACAAATATAAATTCTTATTAAAAAATAATAGGTTGCAATCGCGAATAAAAAGAAAAAAAATTACACTGTAAAAAATAATTTGTATATTAAAAAATATCTAAAACAAATATAAATTCTTATTAAAAAATAACAGGTTGCAATTGCCAAAAAAAAAATTACACTGTGCATTTCATTAATAATGCTTAAAAAATGTGTCAAGTATTTGTGTAAAGGCTTGATATGTGTTCGTTCTCAAATTATCAAGTAAATATAGATAAAACTAAAGAACTCAACTTTAATGGCTAACAAATATTAGAAGTCCAACCATTGAAGCCTAATAACTATTAATTAATAGAATTCAGCAATTAAAAGGTCTCAAACCACATCTCTTTATCTTCTCAAATGTTCCATTTTTTTGGTTCATGCATTCATTCTAATATTGATAGAGAATTTGACGTGTGGAAAAGTGAGAGACATTAAAATTATATATTGAGTTATGTTATTGTTATGATGAAAAATAAAGATTGTCTTCCTCTTCTATGGCGATTTATTTGGCCATACCTTTAATTAAAATGTCAGGTGTGCTTCTACGTCATCATTGAACGTTGCTTTGATTTTTTTAGATAGTTTGTCTCACAATTGTTTGTGTTTTGTATTTTGTGTTATGAAATTTTTTACATATGTGCTTGCTAAAGCTATTAGATAGACATAATGCAAGAAGTGCAAATTATTTAAATGTCATTCTCAGGATTAGAAGTACAAAAAACATATATAAAAAGTATATGTATAGCGATCCCAGTTTTGCCCCGGCCTTCATTGTGTTCCAGACTTGGGTTCCGTGATTGAATATTG